TTACCAGTTAAATGAAAGTACTGATCCATACAACAGGTTAAATCTCAAAAAGCATTACATAAATTCAAAGCTGCCTGACACTAAAGATAAGATACTGTATGATACCAATCATATAAAATCCTAGAAAAGGCAAAGTGATAGCTTTTGAAAGAATATCAGCGGAAGCCAGGCTCAGAAGGGATGAATTGGAAAGGGACACAGGGAAACATGGAGGGTAAAGAAAAGGCCCTTCATATATCATGATTGTGGGGGTATTACACAACTCTCTACATATTACATATCGAAACAGAACTGCATACTTATAATTTGCAACTTATTAGATATAAATTACAACTCAATAGAAATGACAAAAACAAAATAATCAGGAAGAAATGCAATGAGAAAAGGTGAAGGCTTGACTTACTATCTTCTAAACAAGAAGTAGAACTCTGTTGTCAAATACGCTAGCCAAATGTAGCTATTGAATATTTGATGTATAGATAGTAAGACAAAAGTATTGAAGTGTAAAATACACATTGGATTTTGATGATTTAGTAAGAAAAAAATCTAAAGTACCTCGTTAATAATTTTACTGGTTATATATCTTAATAGTTTCCATGTATTGGGTTCAATTAAAAAAAATTAAAATTAATTTTACCTGTTCTTAACTTTTTAATGAGGCTACTAAAAATATTTAAATTACATACGTGGCTTCACTTTTATTTCATTAGACCCTCAACCCTCATCTAATGCACTACTTTAGATATTCAAGACAGATTCCTGAATAGAAAAGATGATATACAAGTTGATATGTTTTGTCAAAGGGAATAACACTGAAGCTAGGTAAAGAAAAGAAATTGTGAAGGGGAGGAGTCAGCACAGGTTTGAGTGACCATGCTCATGTACCTGCAAGTCCTGGCTCTTAAAGAGAAGACAAGAGAGGCCATGCCTCAGAAGCAGTGTGGACAGGTTGAGAGGGTGTAGTCTGACTATACGAAGTATGCAGACCAGGAGAGCCTGAGGTCCCACAGTCCTAGGGGCTGAATCAGCAGATGAAAGAAGCCAAATTCAGAACAAGGGGAGACTAGTCAAATCAGAAGCAAATGCTTGGAAAAGGAAGTCATGTGGTCCATAAACCAACAGCA